TGTCAGGCAATGTGATAAATACTAGGGATAGAAGGAAAAGAAAAATAGTCCCTGCCCTCAGAGTGCTTACACTGTAATGCAAGAGGCAACATACACACAATTATATACATTTATATTATATACATTGGAAATGGGAGGTAATCTCAGAGAGAAGACAGTCTCATTGGGAGGGACCAGAAGAGGACTTTTGCAGAAGATAGAGTTGAAGTTGAATCTTGAAGTTAGCCAGGGAAGCCAGAAGAAGAAAGTAAGGAAGCAGAACATTCTGGTCATGAAGGCTAGCCAATGAAAAGGCATGGAGTTATATGTATAGAAATATTTATGGCAACTTTTTTTTCCTTTTTAGCAAAGAGCTGAAAACTAAGGGAATACCTATCAGTGGAGGAATGACTGAACAATGTATGCTGTATGAATCTAATGGAATAGTAGTGTGCTATTCAGAAATGATGAAGTAGAAAGTTTCAGAGAAATATGAGATCTATATAAATGGATGCAGAATCAGGAGAATAATTTATAGCATAATAAAAATATTATAAAATCAAACAATATAAAATTGTTTTAGCATGCAATTAGGGGCAAAATAAAATATTTTTAAAACAAATAATGTTGAAAGACTTAGGAACTCTGATCAACACAATATTGTGATTTTAAAGGGCTGTTGATGAAGAATGCTACCCACTTCCTGCCCAAGAGGCAATGGACTAAACATGCGGAATGAGACACACATTTTTGGACATGGCCAGTGTGGGAATTAGTTTTGCTTGAACATGTATACTTGTTACAAGGGTCTCCTTTACCCTACCATGGGAGGAAATGGGAGGGAAAGAAGACAAATACCTACTAATTTTTGGACCAAAAAAAAAAAGGTACAGAGTTGTTAGATGGCATTGCCTATATGAGTAGCAGCCAGAAGGTGAATGCTGCTAGATTGTAAAGTATGTGGAGGTCAGTGAAGTGTGAGAAAACTAGAAAAGTAGGAAGGGACCAGGCTAAAAAGGGCTTTAAATGCCAAACTGAGAATTTTACATTTGATTCCCAAAGCCACCTGTGCTTTGGGAAGATCACTTTGGTGACTGAGTAGAGAATGGATGGGAATGGGGAGAGTCTACAGTCAGGGAACCCAACCAACAGGCTACTGAAATAGTCCAGGCACAAAGTGATGGGGCCTTTAACCAGTGTGAGTGGAGAAAATGGGAGGTATAGAGAGGATATTGTGAAGCTAAAAATGACAAGACTTCACAACAGATTGGCTGTGCGAGAGGAAGTCCAAGAGACGAAGCCAAACCCTCATTTTGCAGGGGAGGAGACTGAGGATGGCCAGGAAAGTTAAGTGAGCTGCCTGTATGTGAGCTGTCACATACAGTAATTATCAGAAGTGGGACCTGAAGTCAGGTCCTTTCACTTCAGAGACAGGACTATTTTCAATACTCATGCCTGTATACCGTAAGGAGACATCAACAGAAAAGCTAGTCTGAGTCCTTGCTTTAAGGCAGAGAAAGCATTGTTCATGAGGCTCCAACAACAACAGTAATAACAACAACAGCCTATAAAGAAGTGAAACAATTGTTATTTTTTTTAAAAAAAAAAAGAGTCTGTTGGGGCAGCTAGGTGGCACAGTGGATAGAGCACCATCCCTGAAGTCAGGAAGACCTGAGTTCAAATCCAGCCTCAGACCAAACTCTTGACGCTTATTAGCTGTGTGACCCTGGGCAAGTCACTTAACCCCAATTACCCCCCCACGAAAAATCTGTTCCCAAGCCATAGGCTATGTATTCTTGGTTGGGTCAGCAGCAACCTCATTGCTTTGGCCATAGTGCCACAGCCTTAGAACGTTAGTTGCAACATAGAACCCCAAGGTACATCTGTCTTTGTCTTTTAAGCCAGCAGTGTAGACATATGGCCGTTGCTTGGGGGATAATCATATCAGCCAGCCTTCTGGGAAAGTGCTTTTTACATATGTCATTTGATCCTCACAGTAAAGAACTGTTATTATTCTCCTTTTTAAAGATGGGGAAACTGAGCCTGGGAAGGGTTCAGTAACTTATCCAGGGGACCACAACAGCTAGTAAGTGTTTGAGGAAGTATTGGAACTCAGTTCTTCCTCACTTTAATGCCAGCCCTATATCTGCTGCCTTAGTGGAGGCTAAGTTTGCTTCTTTATCCCAAGAGAACAATTCTTCAGGAAAACTTGAGCCTTGCTGCCCTCTTCTGGTTGAGAGCTGCTGCCCCATTCTGACTACCTTCAGACCATCACCATAGATCATCTTCACAGAGAACATAGAGCGGTAGGGTAGGGAGAATGAGTAACAGCAGGAAGAACAATGTGTTTTCTCATATGTAAACTATTCCTGATAAATATTTCTTTCCTCTTGCAGAGTCATCTTCATTTGTATTTCCCCAAGGGAAGGCAGTGTGTAATTGGTAGAAAGATAGCTGAGAGTGGAGTCAGGGTTAGGGGTTGGAGTGGCACGGGGGCTGGAGAGAGAGATATTTTTAAATAAATGACTCCAGGGAACCAGGAACCCCTCTGAGCTCGCTGCTTAGTGGTGTTGGCCGTGGTGCACTATGTTCAGGCATGGGGGTGGCAGGGAGGAGGAGGCTGGCAAAGCTCACTGCTTGGTACAAAGCCCTGCTGGGCTTTGTAGGAAGCCTACTACTTCATTAATTAAAAAAAAGAATAAGAATTTTAAAAAAAGAATGGGGCCTTATTATGAGACCGCAGCAAGAGTGTTCCTACATCATCCCAGAATACCAATCTCCCTGTCTCCATTCTTAACCTCTTACACAATTCACATCCTTCTCCCACCCCAGTGCCCATCTGCTTTGCAACCATTTAGCTGACACAATAATCTAAATACTGTGTCAGTTCAATCTACATATAGATAGTTGACACTGGTTTCTGTGGTAAAATCCTGTCTAAGTTTATCCTGACCGACAGCTGTACCTTCACTTCAAAGGTCATGCATACTCAGCTCACTTAGATTCCCAAAAAGGAAGGAACGAAAGAGACATTTATTAAGCGTGTACTCTGTGCTAATTGCTTTAAAAATATTATTTCATCTTATCCTTCAACAGTTTTAGGAGGTAGGTGCTATTATTATCCTTTCACAGTTGAAGAAACTGAGGCAGACACAGGTTAATGATTTGCCAAATGACACACAGCTAGTGTCTGAGATCAAATCTGAACTCAGATCTTCCTGATTTGCTCTCTCCCTCCAGCTCTATGAAATCAGTTTTTTTTTTAACACCTAGTTTCCTCTAGGGGTCTGGATCAGAGGTGGGTAAGATCTGTGCTTCACTTGTAATGGCTATGTCCAAGACTTCTGCTCTTGCAGAAGCAACTTAACAAAGCAGACTATGCCCTGGAGCTTAATCATGACCTGATAAAGTGTAAGCTCTTTGAGGGCAGAGAGTTTTGTTTTGTATCCTCAAAGCAGAATAACCACACGAACACTTGCTCTGGAGTCAGAGGAACTGGATTGAACTTCTACCTCTTATACTTCCTGCCTGTTTGACTGTGGGCAAATCATTTAACTCCTGGCCTCAGTTTCCTCATCTATAAAATACAGGGTTTAGACTTTATGATCTTTAAGGTCCTTTCCATTTCTAGATCTGTGAAAATGCTTGTTGAATGAATGAATGAACAAATGGACCCAGAAATGATCTTTCTTCCTCACCCCTTCCGTGCTCCATGATAATTCTTACTTCCTATCCCACTTGTTACTGTTCAATTATTTTTCAGTTGTGTCTGATTCTTCATGACCCCATTTGGGGTTTTCTTGGCAGAGATACTCAAGTAGTTTGCCATTTCCTTCTCTAGCTCACTTTATAGATTAGGAAACTGAGGCAAACAGGGTTAAGTAACTTGCCCAGGTTTATGCAGCTAGTAAGTGTCTAAGGCCAAATTTGAACTCAGGAAGATGAGCCTTCCTAACTCCAGGCTTGGTACTCTAGCCATTTTACCCCTATTCCAGTAACTCTCTGGATACCTGTATCACTAAAACTTTGAATGGATCAAGTCTTTTCACTGATGGTAGCCATGGACTTGAGAGGAATATCTGGGAACACTCCAGTCTTGACATCTGCCCACTGGGTGGTCCTCTAGAGGCCCTGAAACTGAACTTGAGGACTGTTGTGCAGGCTGTGGGCATCCAGAAACTGCGTAATAGTTGGTAACCCTAGGATATAGGCAATCTGGTCCGGCTGTTGTGCACCTAGCCACCTTGGAAGATGCTGAATGGACACAGAATCATTTGATTCAGTAGGTAAGTATGAAGTACCTATTGTGTGTGAGGCAGTATGCTAGGCATTAGGGATATAATGATAAGAAAAAAAATCATAAAAAAACTATCAGATCAGCCCCAGGCTTGTAGGAATCCCTATTGAATCAGGCCCTACCCCAATATATTTTTCTTCTAATTAATAAATATCAAAGCCAAGAGGCTCTTTCTGAAATGTATGCTTTGTGGGAGGAGGTGGAGTGTGGAAGAATGAGACAGAAGAAGCCCAGAATCAGTGGCAATAGACCCCGAAAGATTTCTAAGTTTTTGGTGACATTTTCTTTTCTCTTTTTCTTCCAAGGGTGTTTTGCCCAAATGTTAATTTCTCTTTTTTTGTGGTACAGTAGAAAAAGTATTGGTTAGGGGATCAGAGATCTGGGTTCACATTTGGACACTTCACATATTACCTATGTGGACTTGAGCATTGTTAAATGACCTGTTAAATGAGGGGACTGAACTGGATGAATTGTAAGTTCCAAATATCCAAATTTCATGAGCCTTTGTTCCTCAGCTCTGTTAATGAAACTGCAGAGAAGAACAGCGAAGAGGTAAACATGTGTTGTTATACCTGCTTGCTAAGCTATTGTTCATGTTCTAAAGGATTCCCTTCCCCCAGGCCAGAGCTCAGCCTACTGTACTCACAGTGTTTCCAGGGACTCCACTGCAAAGCTGTTAGTCCTATGGCCACCTCAGGCTCATCCTTTGTTTTTCTGTCTCCAGCAAGGATTGAAAATAGTTCACCATGCAGACAAGACGCTGGCCAGCTTCTGCAAGTGGCAGAAAAGCATCAACCCTAAGAGCGACCTCAACCCTGCCCATCATGATGTGGCCGTCCTCCTAACCAGGTACTGCCACAGCTGGAGCCCAGCCTGGGTGGAGGGCTAGGGGATGCCTGGAGGAGGGAAGGACATGGGGAAGGTGTAAGAAGTGAGCAAGGCCTTCTGACTAGAGCTTTGTCTTCTCTTCCATTTCTTGCAGGCTAGTTTTCTAATATTTCCAATTACTGTATTAATGGAGGGAACAAAGTAACATGGGTTATCCAGAATCTTGGATAATATATAAGGTTTACTTGAAATGCCTGACATGGGTTTGGGGATTACATTTTTTAGGTTTGGTTTTTTTTAAGCAATTGGTGTTAAGTGACTTGCCCAGGGTCACACAGCTAGGAAGTGTTAAGTGTTTGGTCTGAGGCTGGATTTGAACTCAGGTCCTCCTGAGTTCAGGGCCAGTGCTCTATCCACTGTGCCACATAGCTGCCCCTGGGGATTACCTTTTGAAGCAGCTCAGTGCAGTGGAAAGGTTTCTGAGATTGGAGTAAAGGGTTTGGTTTTGAATCCCAGATCTGCCAATTACTATCTATATAACCTTAGGAAAAGCACTTTCCTCCTTGGGGCCTCAGTCTCCTCATCTGTAAATGAGAGTATTGGACTAGTTGACCTCAAAGGTCTCTTCCAGCATAATTCTATGATCCTATAATTTTCCTTCCTAATTATATTTTTCTCATGTTATCATCAAGCTGAATGCCCAAAGAAACCAGGCTCTTTTAAGTTGCTAAAGTCAGTAACAGACCATAGATTGGGTATTTGAATGTTTCCTGCCGTAGTCGATTCACACAGGGATGCTTGTTGATCACGACTGCCTATAGCTTTCCCCTCCTAATGCACCAAGATTGGCTTTTCAGGAGCACTGTAGGGTGTGAGGGGGCAGACTACTAGAGCCAGAGGGGAGCTGGAACCAGAGTGAATACCTGGAATGAAGGAACAGCTTTTGAATAACTCTATTCTTAATGCATAGAGGGAATGTCAAGGGCAGGGTCAAAGATGCATGTGTAGCCAGCAACGTCTCATGGTGCAGGTTCTTTGGTGATCTTTGTTATAGTCCAGATGATAGATTTTAAGGCATACACACACACACACACACACACACACACAATTTGCATTTTTCCTAGACATACTATTGGAAAGTGCAAATGAGCTCCCTACTTTACTATTAATTCCCATAAAAACCCCTGTGGGAGGGAGGCAAAAAGGAAGGATGCAAGAAGCTCTTCTGATAACTTGGGCTCATAGATCTGGAGCTGCCAAGTCCAACTTCATCATTGTACAGATGAGAAAACTGTGATCTAGTTATCTGGTCCTAGAGATATTAATTGATTTGCACATGGTCACATGATGATTAAGTGTTCCAAGTGGGGCTTGTGTCTAGGTCCTCCTAAGTCCACATATAGCTCTTGACTCCCCTTTTCTCTTGCCTTCCAACTATAACCCCTATGCTTTATTTTTAAAAATACCACTGTATTTTATGACAAAGGGATTTGATAGAAAGAATATTAATTAGAATGCAGGCTCTTTGAAGGCAGGAATTATTTTATTTTTGTCTTTATGTCCATCAACTAGCACATAATAGGTACCTCATAAATGCTTGTTGACAGCTTCACTAGGCAGACTAGATAAAAAGTGATATGTTTTCCGGCCTTGGAAATTCTTGAAGTCTATTTACTAACTTAGAGAAGAGTTAAGTTCTATGGTATTGGAAGAAGTAGTAACATAAAAAAAGAAAAATCACAGAGCTTGGAAATGTTGAAAATTAGTTGACCCCTAAACAGCTCTAGCATTCCATTATTCTGTGACTTGAGATGATCAGATAGTTATAGAGCCTTTGTGCTGAAGTCTCATTCTAACACTATCTGCTGCACAGCTGAGATCACTAGAAGTAGTTTTGTCTTGGAATTCAACCAAAAGGGACTAATCATTCAACCAATTAATTAATAAACCACCGGCATTAAGTACCTACTGTGTGCTGGGTCCTGTGCTAAGCAGTAGCAATGTGAATGTGAAATAGTTGCTGTCCTTGGGGAGCTTGAGGGAGACTCTGTGTGTGTGTGTGTGTGTGTGTATGTGTGTGTGTGTGTGTATACAACATAAATGTAAGGTACATTTTTGAAGGTGGGGACAGCTTGGGGGATATAGAAGGGCTTCATTTAGAAGATGTCCCTTGAACAGAGCTGTGAAGTAAACAAGGAATTTAAGAGGAAGAGGTGAAGTGAGCGTGCATTCCAGGCCTGGAAGACAGTTAATGCAAAGGCACAGAGATAGGAGATGGGAGTATTATGTGTGAGGAAGAAGCTTGGATAAATTTCAGAAAAACCTGGAAAGACTTATATGAACTGATGCTGAATGAAGTGAGCAGGACCAGGAGAACATTGTACACAGTAACAGCAACATTATGAGATGCCTAACTTTGATGGACTTAGCTCTTCTCAGCAATGCAAGAATCTAAGATAACTCCAAAAGACTCATGATGGAAAATGCTATCTACATACAAAGAACTATGGAGTCTGAAAGCAGATGGAAGCATGCGGTTTTCCCTTTTGTATTTTTTCTTTTTTTGTTTTTTTTTTCTGGTGGTTTTTCCCTTTTGCTCTGGTTCTTTTTTCACATGACTAATGTGGAAATACGTTTAATATGATTGTACATGTATAGCCTATTGCTTGCTGTCTTGGGGAAGGGAAAGGGAAGAGAAGAAGGGAGAAAAAAATGTGGAACTCAAAATCTTGTAAAAGTGAATGTTGAAAACTATCTTTGCATGTAATTGGAAAAAGTAAAATACTATTAAATGAGGAAAAAAAGAAGCTTGGATAGACCATGAAGTGTGAAGGGGAATGATGCATAATAAATTTGTTGTGTTAGAGTGGGATCAGATTGTGAAGGGCATTAAAGGTAAACAGTGGAACTTATATTTGATCTTAAAGGCAATGGGAAGTCATTGGAGTTTATAAGCGGATTAGAGGAGTGGCAAGGTTAAATTGGAACTTCAAAAAAAATCACTTCGGCACCTGTGGGAGTTGGACTGGAGAGGGAAGATACTTGAGATAGGAGGCCAATTAGGAAGTAATTATTCCAATAGTCCAGGCAAGAGGTGATGAGGACCCAAATCAGGGCAGTGACTGTGTGATCAGAGAGAAGGTGCAGGATACATGAGATTCTGTAGAGGTAAGAATGGCAGAGTTGGCAGGTGATTATTTATGCGGGCTAAAGGAAAGTGAGGAATCATGGATAATGTGCAAGTTGTGAACCTGAATAAATGGAAAAATCATAGGGCTGTCAAAAAAATGGGGAACTTCAGGAGACAGGGAGTTTGACCAGAAAGATGGATTCAGGTTTGGAAACGTTGAGTTTGAGAGGCTGAGGGGACATTCAGTTTGAAATATTCAGTAGGCAATTGGAAATGCACAACTGGGTTTTAGGAAAGACTCTAAGACTAGATATACAAATGTTGAAGTTATCTCCCTGGAGGTGATAATTAAAACCATAGGAGCTGAGGAGGTCAGTGCATGAGAGGATTTAGAGGGAAAGAACAGAAAGTTAAGAAAGAAAGAGGGCCCTGAACAGATCCTTAGCTCCACCAACAGTTAAGGGGTATGATATGGAAGATAAATTAACTAAGGAGATGGAGTAGTGGTCAGACACCTAAGGAAAAAGAAACAAGAAAAAAATGTCCTGCAAAAATCAGAGAGGAGAGAGTATCCAGGAGAGTGGTCAGCAATGTCAGATACTGCAGAGAGGTCAAGAAGGATAAGAATCAAGAAAAGATTATAATATGTGGCAATTAAGAGATCAGTGATAACTTTGGAGGGAAGGGTTTGAGCTCATTGTTAAGGTTAGAAGCCAGATTACAGAGGGTTTAGAAATGAGTAAGAGGGGGCAGCTAGGTGACTTAGTGGATAGAGTCTTGGGGATTGATGGCAGGAGGACCTGAGTTCAAATCCGGCCTCGACCAATCACTTGACACTTAATAGCTGTGTGACCTGGGCAAATCACTTAACCCCAATTGCCTAAAAAGGAAAAATAAAAAAGGAAAAAAAAGAAATTAGTAAGAGGCCAGTAAAGAGAAACAATGGGTGTAGACCATTTTTTTTCTAGGACTTTGGCTATCAAAGTATGGAGAGACAGGATGATGGAATTTGGGAGTATATGAAGGCAACAGGGAAGAAACCAGTAGATAAGGAGATGTAAAATAATTTGGATTAGAAGTCAGTAGATTGAAGATTAGCGTGTATGTGCATGTACGGAGGCATGATTACAGAATGTTCTACAGAAGATAGTAGGGAATTGGATCAAGAAGTGCTAGAAGTTGTGCTGTAGAAAATGATGAGCAGGAGGACTTCAGAAAAACCTGGAAAGACTTGTATGGCCTGATGCTGAGTGAAGTGAGCAGAACCAGGAGAATGCTGTACACAGTAACAGCCATGTTGTGTGATGACTAACTTTGATAGACTTAGTCCTTCAAAAGTCTCATGATGGAAAATACTATCCACATCTAGAAAAAGAACTATGGAGTTGGAATGCAGATTGAAGCATACTATTTGCCATTTTTTTCTTTTGTTTTGTTTCCACTTTCTTGCGTTCCTCCTATTGGTTCTAATTCTTCCTTACAACATGACTAATGTGAAAATATGTTTAATAGGAATGTATACGTAAAGCCTATATTAGATTGTGTTCTCATCTTGGGGGGGGTTGAGGGGGAGAAAAATTTTAAACTCAAAAGCTTATGGAAGTGATTGTTGATAAATCAAAATAAATTAATAAAAAATGTTTTAAATCCCCCCCCAAGAAAAAAGAAATGCTAGAAGACAGATTTTAACTGGTGGTCCCAGGGCTTAGGTTATATAATCATTAAAAAGAATGTAAGCACCTTGAGGTAAGGGATCTGTGTCATAAAATGCAGTTTTTCAGTATTCCTTTGAGCCTAATGTACACTGTTAGATGCATAACAGGTGCTCAGTCAATACTTATTGAATTGAGTGACCCCAGAATGTATCCATTAGAAAAATTAATAAATTATCCATTTGTTCCATTCATCTTTACCAATCACTGCTATCTTTACTGGACTCCTGGCTCTTTAGAAAGAAATGAAGAAATGGGTTATAAAGCCCCATTGGCAGCGTGGTTATTTAGGGCGGGAAGAATGTTTAGTTGGTGTTCCTATGTGTCCAAAAGGGATTAAAATGGCCATGGTATATGACCAAACAAAACATTTTGGAAATTTCAGTGGCAGCTGTTGCCATTAGCAAAATACATGTGTAAATCTTTCCTGATGCTCTTCTGTAAATAGAAATCTTTGAAACTGGCTCCATTATCCCAGTTATTGCTATAGCTATGGGCTAATGGAAACTGGCAGGATTCCCCTGTGCCAGCATCTTTCTAACAGCATAATTGACATCAAAGCCTGAAGAGCCTATGTAGCCAAAGCAGCACCCACGTAAACCCCATGCATTGAGGGCTTAGAACTGAAATTCATGATGGCTTTGGTGTTTGAGTGAGTCATCTGTTGGCAAAGAAAGTTTTCTTGTCCTGAAGACATCCTACCACTTGTGCTAGCAGCTTTTGTGAATGATTTGAAATGATTTAAATGACCTTGCCTCAACAAGTGTGTCAGACATGTATAACCTAAACCAAATTGCTTACCTTCTCCATGAGTGGGGTAGAGAGGGATAGAGGGAGAGAATTTGGAACTCAAAATTAAACAACAACAACAACAATGGTTTTTAGATGTAATTGGAAAAAATAAAATATTAAATAAATATAAAAATAACAGGTGAGTCAGAACAGTTTGATGTGTCAAACATATCCTACATGACTTGTGATGACCTTGGGACAGCTGGATGATGCAGTAGATAGAGCTCTGGGCTTGGAATCAGGAAGAACTGAGTTCAAATTTGGCCTCAGGCGCTCACAAGCTGTGTGATCCTGGGCAAATCGCTTAAACCCTGTTTGCCTCAGTTTTCTCAACTGTAAAATGGAGATAATAGCAGTACTTACCCCCCAGGTTGTTTTGAGTATCAAAGCACATGCCTGGCACATAATAAGTGATATATAAATGTTAACTATTATTATTATTAATTATTGTTGTTTTTGTTCTGTGGCCTTTTCCCATTTTTGACCAGGGGCCATTGGGAATCAGTGGGAAGGGGGGCAGAGAAAAAACAACAACTAGGGGTGTATGTGTGTGGGAGGAAAAGTAGGTGTGTGCACTCTTTGCTTTGTACCTCTCTGGGACGCTACAGTTGAAGAGAGTATATGTTGTCAGACATGGTCAATTTATCGATTTGTTTTGCTTAACTGTACTTTGCTACAAGTCAGGGTTTTATTTAGTAGTAGTGGGAAAGAGAATGTTGTATTAGAAATAACAGCTATGTTTAAAAAAAGACTGTTCTAAAAGAAAAATCACCATCAGCACTGCTTAGACCCTACAAGGTCCCAAGGTCCCTGTGAACATTTGTAAGGAAGCTGTCTAGTAAGAGAAACATGAAAGCCACTTCTCTGCTTAGAACCAACCCCTGCAGTTATAATAAAGAATCTGGTAAGTGAGAAAAAAGGTACAATGCCAGCTGATAAAGTGAGAGGAAGCACTAAGTCCTGGGCTCCTCATACCAACTTGAAGGAGTCTGGGAGCAGAGTGGCATAATGTCCAATCTGACTCCCTAATCCCGTATCCCTCCATTTTGGGCCACTTAACTCTCACTTGAAAACTTAGACCCACCCTATGATCAATCTGTCCCCTAGGCAGGGGAAATAGAAGTACCTATAAATGTGTAAATCAGTAACAAGTAATATTTGCTATTGACCTTCTTTATCCCTTGGTTCTGGTTAACTCCATTCTTCTTGCCTTGTCAATGGTGACTAAGTCTTTAACCCAATAACTATAGCTATGAATTAGATTGGTATTCATCCAAATGCCCCATTTCCTCTGGAACTGGGGTCATACCTTACTTGCAACTGTTCTCCCTTCCCTAAAGTCCTAGTCCTTGTGGGTGGATCTCCCTTACTTACTTCTAGACCTCCTTATAGTAGGCAATATGGTCCAGAGGAAAGAGGGATGGATTTTGAATCAAAGGACCTATGTTTAAATTCTGGGTCTGTCACTTAATGTGTGACCTTGGACAAGTCACTTAAGCTTCTCTGGACCTTGGGTTTGTGCTCTGTAAATTGAGGGGGTTGTACTAGCCAGCCTCTAAGACCCCTTCTAAATCTACATCAGTGATCCTGGCTGAATCATTGCTAGTTCCCATAGTCTCCTAAGAACTTTACCCACTGCCCCACCTTCTTCCTATTTCACTTCACATTGCTGATCCCTTGCTGGGTCACTAATACCATCCTCCTGGGTCTATATACTTTTCAGTTGCTAGCCATCTCCTTATTTGTCCACTGAGCCCTGGTACTGACAGGATGGAGGTAGGAAGTAGATAGATCATTTGAATCACGGATAGCTAGTTAGTACCCAACCATTTTGGAAACAGAGGCATATTACCACAAATGAGGAATATACTCTGATGTACTTTGAGTACTGGACTCAAAAATTTGATCTTTTCTAGTTAATGTCTCTAAATAGTGCCAGCTTGCTAACAGTGTTTGTGTTTGGCCAGGCAGATAAATGGCTTAAGATTATAAGATCATAGATTTAGAGAGAAGTTTTATAGTTTTATAGTGAAGTCTATGGAGAAGTGAATTGACAAAGGTCACACAATGATTTGGTGGCAGAGGTGAGACTCAAGCCCAAGTCTGACTCCAAAGCCAGCGAGCCTTCCACTGTGCCATACTGCTTCCTGTTTCTTGATCCAGTTAATGATAATGATGATGATGAGATATAGTGAAAGAGTGCAGGGTCCAGAGTCAGGAAGAATTCAAATGTGGCCTTACATACTAGCTGTGTGACCCTGAGCAAGTCACTTAGTCTATTCCTGCCTCAATCTCCTCGTTTGTTAAATGGGGATGATAATAGCACCTATTTTCCAGGGTTGTTGTGAGGATCAAATCAGATAATACCTGTTAAGCACTTAGCACAGTGCATGGCACATAGTGCTGTATAAATGCAAGTTATCATCCTCCTCCTCCCTCTCCTCCTCCCCCTCCTTCTTTTTCTTCTCCTTTTTCGTCTTCCTTATCCCTCTTCTCTTCCTCCCCTTCTTCCTCCTCTTCTTTCTTCTTCTTCTTCCTTTTTCTTCTCCTCCTCCTCCTCCTCTTTTGTCCTCTTCCTCCCCTGCCTTTGTCCTATTCCCCCCCCCCCAAGGTAACAGGAAGTCAACATCAGAGGTGGAATTTAAAACTAAATCCCTTTACTTCAGAGCTAATCCTATTTCTACTGTCACATTGCTAGGTCAAATCAATGAGATATGATCCCAAAATGAAGTTTACTTATTTTTAACAGATGCTTAGTTTGAATTGCTTCTTAATATGCATAGCTTTTATTTCAAATATACTTTCAAACTATTCCAGATGTTTACCTAACACTATAATTGATTCTTTCTTATGATATTTTATTAAACATTGTCCTCAATGACCAGCTTTCCCTATGCTCTATTTCCAGGAAAGATATCTGTGCTGGGGTTAATCATCCCTGTGAAACCCTAGGCCTGTCACATCTCTCTGGCATGTGCCAGCCTCACCGGAGCTGTAATATCAATGAAGACTCAGGACTCCCCCTGGCTTTCACAATTGCCCATGAGCTTGGGCACAGGTAACGACTAAGTAATGAATAAGTAAGGATGGAGGAGATATGGCTAGAGAGTAGTTCAGACAAAAAATATCGGGAGGTTTACTATGTCTGGAACTCCCTATGTGCCCACTCTGTAACAGGGCAGTCAGAAAAGCTAATTGTCTTAGACTGCCATCAAAATTGTGTCCAGAAAAAGCCAAAAAACAAACAAACAGAAGCCATGGGGGTAGCAAGGTGGCACAGTGGGTAGAACTCCAGCCTTAGAGTCAGGAGGACCTCAGTTCAAATCCAGCCTCAGACACTTGATACTTAATAGCTGTGTGATCCTGGGCAAGTCACTTAACCTCTAATTGCCTCACCAAAAAAAAACAAAATAAACAAAGAAACAAATCAAAATGAACAAAATTGTGTCCAGAATGAGGGAGGTGATATTCATCAAGTTTCATTCTGCTCTGCTCAGACCACACCTAGAGCACTCTGTTCAGTTCCAAGTATGCCATCAAGAAACTGGAACGTGGCTAGAAGGAGGAAAATTAGAAGATCAGAGATTTAGAGCTGGCAGGGACTTTAGAGGTCATCTAGCTCAACCTTATGATATAGATAAGAAAACTGAAGCCCGAAGATATGAAGTAATTTGTCCTGAATCACACAGGTACTAAGCAGGAGAGTCAGAATTTGAACCCAGTCCCTTCAGCTTCAAATCCAGAATTCTTTCCAATTATACTGTTCTTCCTCACAGTGAAATTGTAAGGGGGGTTGAAGTGATCCCTTTCAAGTTATCAGTTAAAGGAACAAGGGAAGTTTAGGATGAAGGAGAGAAGACTTAAAAGTGATATAACAGTGGTCTTTAAATATTTGAAGAGCTGTTGAGTGAAAGAGAGGTTAGACCTATTCTGCTTGGCCCTGGAGGGTAGAATGAGGACATATGGATAGAAACTATAGGGAGGCATATGGTGGTTACATGTAGGGAAGGACTCCTTAATAATTATAGCTGTCTAAGAAATGGAAAAGACAGCCTCGGGGCATGTCCCTGAAGGTCTATAATTGGAGATAAGCACTCTCTGGAGCTGCTGTCTAGGGGGCTCATTCTTCAGGTAGCAGCTGGACTAGACCAAGGAGGTCTTAGCCTTTTTTTGTATTATGGATCCCTCTGGCTGTCTGGTAAAGCCTATGGACCCTTTCTCACCATAGAGTTTTTAACTGCAAAAAGTAAAATTCATTGGATTACAAAGGAAACCAATTATTTTGAAATAACATTTATATATATATATATATATATATATATATATGTGTGTGTGTGTGTGTGTGTGTGTGTGTGTGTGTGTGTGTATATACATACATAAACATATATATGTATATGTGTGTACACATACATATCTATATATGCACAGACTTATATGTATGTATACATGCATATACGTGTGTGTGTGTGTGTGTGTGTGTGTGTGTGTGTGTGTGTGTACACATATACATACACACACACATAAGTTCAGGGACCCCAGGTTAAGAACTCTTAACTAAACTGTATCTGACCTCCATTCAGACTCTGGGCTTTATGAACTGATCATGAAAACTGATGTCTTCCCTACACTGTTAATTCTATGTCTTCTGTCATACCTTCTCATGGCTCTGATTAAAAAATGGTTTTTCCCATTTGTCTCCTTGCCCACCTCCTTTTTTTTTCTTCCCATTTTCTACTTCCACATAGACTCTAGAGCCAGCATGGTTTAGTGAGTGGAAAGCAGGCCTTGTATCCAAGAAGACCTGAGTTCAAGTTCTGCATCTGACACATCCTTCCACCCCTGGACAAATCACTATAGGCAGCTCTCTAAGGCTCTACATTGCAGAGAAGGTGCCAGCCTGCACTTGTAGAGGATATTTCCCTAACCTGGAGTTTCCTATGCCAAAGAAATCACAAATCTAGTCTCTATCTCCTGTGCCTGTGTAGACTCCCAAAGGGAACGGGGCTGTGGAACTGGGATGTCTGTGGTGATGCCTGGTATACAGATGTGCTTCTTCAGGTGTGTAAAAGTGTCTTGCACTGTCAGAAGGGTGAGACAGCCTGCCTCTGCTAAACAACCCATTGTTTTTAAGAATGGAGTGCAGTTCTGGCTACTGTTTATTTCCCTACCAGTTTGGGAGAAGGAAATGGAGAATAAGAGAAAACTAAAAAAACATTGTCATACACTTCAAATAGAGCCAGGCAGGCATACGTGGAAGAGCATCTCCATCTTATTTGAACCTCATTTGGGTGTGTGTTACTTTGCCCGTTAGTTCCACAGGACTTGGATTCAAATCCTGCTGATTACTTGTGTGAGCTTGGGCAAGTCACTTCACTTCTCTAGGATTAAACTGATTTAATCATCTCTAAAATGAATTGATTATTTCTAAGATTTCTCCAAGTTCTAGATTTCTGATTATCTGACACTTTTCACCACAACCTGATCCCACTTAAATCAAGAAAATGAGGCTTTGCTGACACCTGGTCCAGGAGTAAGCAGAACTTCCCAGAGTTCATCAAACTTTAATGCTAATGCTAATGACGATGGCAGAGAAAGTAGAGAAAGAATCAACTTTGGGATGCCAGGGGTGAAAGCTATTGCTACCCTTTCAGGAGCATTTTGCCTCCATTTCTAATTACTTTCCTCTTCTTCATTTCTATCCCCTTACATGTTCCTCCACCTAGATTTTTATGTGTCACTCATTCTCCCTCATACAGCCTGAGAACTCAGTAAAGCAATTGTTGAACCTGTTGGAATAAGATAGAAGGAATTAAATATTCCAGAAAATAGGCCTCCCATCTGAAATGTGCTATTTAAATTTAGGGTAACTTATCTCTAGAGTGCTTAATTTACATGCAGTGAAAGCATTCATTCATTCAATAAGTGTTTTATTAGACACCTGCTATGTGCCAGCCATTGTGCTAGATTCTCAGTTAATACATTTTTATTAAGTGCCTATTATGTGCCATGCATTGTGTGAAGTGCTGCAGATATAACAACAAACAACAAAAGTAGTGAAAAAGACAGCCCCTATCCTCAAGGGGCGGGGAGACAACACATATAAAGAACTGAAAATGGGAGGGAGGCAGAGCACGATGGCCTATGGGAAAGTACCCAATGCAGGGGCAAGGTAGAGAAGTCAGAGAAATCCCAAAGTGTACAGCCAGGTGAGAAATGAGAAATTTTCAAAAACAAAAATATATATGTATACACACACACATATATACATTGTGTGTATGTGTATATATACATACACATACATATACATATATAGATACATAAATGCATACATGTGCACACACACACACTCATACTGGAACAAACACAGTAATTCCCAGGAGGGAAGACACTAACAAATGATGATATTGTGTGGGAAGGGATAAGAGGGTGGGAGGAGCACTAGAACTGAGCTTTGAAAGGAGCTGAGAATCCTGAAGTGGAAGTGAGAAGGGATCAAGGTAGTAGATGAAATGTCTACCAGCAGGTAGGTTAGTTTGAAGCATAGAATGCATGGTGGAATTGTGCACTAAGCCTGGAAAGGAAGGCAAGAGCCACTTTATGAGGGACTTTGAAAGCCAAAGCAGTGTGTATTTCATCTAGAGGCAAGAGGGAGCTAGAATTTCTTGACGAGGGTCCGAACAATGTGTTTTAGGACTATCAGTGAGGCAGCTATGTGGAGCACAGATTAGAGAGAGGAGAGAAGAGAAGCAGGGGGCCCAACTAAGAACCAATTCTCAATAGTTCATTCATTCTTTCCTTCACTCAATAGTCCAAGCCAGAGGTGGTCACAACCTGACCCAATGTGATGGAAATGTGAATAGAAAAAAGAAGTGTTAGAAAGGAGAGATATTTTGGAGCTAGACTCATCGAAACTTGGCAGCTGATTAGTTCTGAGATAAATAGCTCATTGAAGCTAGATTGCTCTGTGCTGGTAACTTATGAAGCTGTAAAATAGATGCCAATAAACAGAGAGCCAGATTAACATAAATATTAACTGATTTGATTTGATCGGCTAATTGCAGAAGGGATGCCAAATTCTTGAAGGCAGAATTGGGATAGGAGATTAATGAAGGATGGGCTCCAGTTTCTCATGCCTCCACATGTTGGAAGATTTGTTACACTTGCATAGGGACTCAGAGGACAGGGTGTTATATTAGCAGATGGGCAATTAATTCTGGTTATCATTTTAATAGGGACCTTGATTTTCCTTTCTGGGGAAGAAAACATGTATGTCCTTGAAAGGAGGTATGACTAAGAAGGAAATGAGGGATGTACTAATAATAATAGCAATGGTAGTACTATACACTTGTATAATTCTTAGTGCATTTCAAAGCATTCTCACATCCTTTATTTAATTTGCTCTTCATGTTAACCTTGTGAGAGACGTGGGGGGCTCTTTCTGAGCAGTTTTCTTATCCCTAGGGGTGACTTGCTAAGGCAGTTGCTGCTGTTTGTCCTTCATGCTCAAAAAGGACCATGACATCAAGGAGGTGATGCCATGACATGCAAGTGAATTAGATTACACTGAAGGAGGGCTGTGAAAGGTCACCAGCACCACTTTCTCCTCCAGAGCCATCTGGGTCCAGTAGCCAAATATAGATCAGGATAACTGGAGATGGCCAAGGATGCAGTGGGGGACCTTGGCCTTTTCAAGCTAAGGTCTTTAACAGGTCTCAGTTTGATTGAGGCAATGCCTATTCAGTGATTAAGGTTCAATAAGAAATGAGGTAGAAAATTGTCTCTTTTTAAAAAAAATTGATCTGGGAGTAAAGATCTTCAGGATTTCCAGCCAAAACAGAAACAATTACTATTTCATTCATTCTGAGCTAGCCAAGGTGCATTCTGGGCCATCTCCAGTTGCCTAATCTGTGTCTGGCCACTGGACCCAGGTGGCTCCAGAGGAAAAAGTGAGGCTGGTGACTTTGCACAGCCCTCCCTCACTTAAATCCAATTCATTTGCGTGTCATGGCACCACCTCCTTGATGTGATGGTCCTCTTCGAGAATGAAGAACAAACAGC